GCTCTCTGCTCAGCAGGGAGCCTGCTTCCTCCTTTCTCTCTGCCTGCCTCTCTGCCTACTTGTGATCTCTGTCTGTCAAATAAATAAATAAAATCTTTTAAAAAAATGTTTTAAAATTGGATCTTGAACATATATCTTATGAATCCTCATAAATACACGTGGCAGTGGTCCACACTGCTGACCATCACCATCACTGCCAACAGCCATTCCCCTCTCCCTTCCTAAGTTCTATCCCAGTGCTGGGCAGCCACGTACTTCAGAACTGGCCTGGCCTCTCTCTGACCCAGAGCAGCCCAAATCAGTAATAGTAATTTCACTGTCCTGCTCCTGATTCAGCTGAGGCCAGTACAATGTTAGGAGCAATCTGCAGGGGGACTTGTGAGAAAGATTTCTTCACGCTTTAAAAGAGACACGAAGGGGCGCCTGGGTGGCTCAGTGGGTTAAATCCTCTGCCTTCAGCTCAGGTCACGATCTCAGGGTCCTGGGATCGAGCCCCACATCGGGCTCTCTGCTCAGCGGGGAGCCTGCTTCCTCCTCTCTCTCTGCCTGCCTCTCTGCCAACTTGTGATCTCTGTCTGTCAAATAAATAAATAAAATCTTTAAAAAAAAAAAAAAAAGAGAGACACGAAGGGGTTGCCTGGGTGGCTCAGTGGGTTAAGCCTCTGCCTTCAGCTCGGGTCATGATCTCGGGGTCCTGGGATCGAGCCCCACATCAGGCTTTCTGCTCAGCGGGGAGCCTGCTTCCCCCTCTCTCTCTGCCTGACTCTCTGCCTACTTGTGATCTCTGTCTGTCCAGTAAGTAAATAAAATCTTAAAAAAAAAAAAAAGACACGAAGACAGCTTCTTTGCTCTGTCTCCGGATGCGGGTTTCTGCAGCAGCTCCCCTGGGATACGAGGCAGCCAACTCAAGACCAGCGACGGAGCTGCTGATGGCGGGATGGAGCTACGGGAAGGACTGGGTTCTGGAGGATGTTGCTAAACTGCTTGAAGGAATCCACCTTGGCCTGGCCCTGCCTCTGTACTTCTTGTGATCCAAGATATTAAGTTTGTGCCCCCAGGGTCTATTACTTATAACTGCAACTATTTCAACTGGAATACTGGTCCGTTCTTGATTGTGGATTAATCACAGGCTCCATCTGACAGTTAACCTTGGGGCAAAGGGAGACCTTGTCTGATGCTGGGTTTGTTCACAGCTCCAGGCCCCGCTCCTAACGCACAGCCTGTTCAGGGTTCCATCACAGCTGGGGGCCTCCTCTGCCTCTGGGTTTGCAGACTTGGAATTCAATCTCTTAACCTTGAATGGAACAACACCCTGCTCAATCAGAGAGGTGGAGGGAAGGGTTCCTAAGCCGAAGTGGTGTGATTGGGAGAGTAGCTAATGTTAATGTAACAATAAGGAAGGGAGAAACCCCCTGGTGAGTTTAGGAACTTTCTAGTTGAGAAGAATTCCCATGATCAAATGTTATAATAACAATGTAACAATAACAACCACTTATCCAGTACCCTGCTGTCTGACAGGCTGCATGACAGGTGGTTTACACACATTCTCTTGTCTAATTACTACAATTAGGCAAAATAGATTATTATTCTTATTCTGTAATTAAGAAAACCAGGGCTCAGTGAGGAAAGTAAAATCCCCAGAGTTACCCACATAGACTGGAGCTGAACTAGGGTGTGAATCCACCTCTCACTCCCAGATCTGTGCTCTTTCTAAAAATATTTAAAATCCTATATAAATTATAGA